GAAAAAGAAATGTGCGGTTCGAAACGGTGAAAAAGAGAAAAAATGTGCTCATTTCATGATAGTCTTTTTTTATAACAGTAGTATAAACGGCAAATACATTGATTTTTGGTTTCCTTTTTCAGCCATCAAACAAAATCCATCTGGTTTTCGTTCAGTAGATGAATTTTGTCAACAAATACCTGTGTCAATCGAAAATCTTTTCCATGTAAGTGTGACAAGTCGAGATGGGTAATTCTAACTTCGTTTCAACTACGAGTTAAAATCTGTTCGTCCTTTTTCCTTGCTGTTTCTTAAACATTAGGGGTGGATTATATTTGCTAACTTGTAAAAAAACACCACTGTTTTGAAAACTAAGACTATCATGAAATGAGCACATTTTTCTCTTTTTCACCGTTTCGAACCGCACATTTCTTTTTCTTTCGTATGATACATGTGCAGCAAGATGTGTGAGGTCAAATAAAAAAGAACTTCCACGAAGAATAAAAAATAGAGTTGATGAAATTTTGAATAGGCGTTTCGACGTTTGAATTGAGAGAAAGTTTGTCATCAACTAAACACCAATCGTTTAAAAAATACGTTTTCACTCAATTTGAACTCCATATAAGAGACGTTCAACTGCAAAGTTGAGTTTGTCCGTTTCTGGTGACAAAAAATTTGTTCAATCTTATATCTATATTTTATTCTATTTTAAGGTCGCATTTCATATTCGAAATTTAAAACGTCATACAATTGATCAGTTATTGGATAATGAAGAAAAAATGTTATTAGCAAATCGAAATCGACCTGGTGGTGTACAAATAACTGAAACATTTATTCCAGACAATACAGATAATCATCAAACAAACAACGATTCCCACAATGAATACACAAATGTTGTTGATAATGCTTTTAATTTAACACGAATACCAAAAGAGTCAATTCTTGAACATAAACATGTAAAAAATTTAAATTTAAATTAACTTGTCTTGTTTGTCTAATAAGTTTTCCTATTGTTAGAAATAAGAGTTTGAGTTATTTATATACGATCAGATCGATAATGACAAGTTTATTTTTATATTTTAGTTTCTTATTCTTTGGAATTGGCTACCTCCTCGACTGAGTTTATCTCAACCCGAATTATTATTCACAACTCAAGAACATGGTTGTCGTTTACAAACATTATTAGATAAAATTGATGATATTGAATATTCGATTATGATTGTCAAAGCATCAAATGGAGAAGTAAATTATTCCATTCTTTATTAGATAAGACAAATCGGACATTTTTTTTTCTTCTTCTGATTTTAGATATTTGGCGCCTTTTGTGCTGGTCTTTGGTCATTACGTCATAATAAAACTTATTTCGGATGTGGTGAATCATTTTTATTTACTTTACATCCAAAACCAATCAAATATCCATGGATTGGAATCAAACAATTGTCAGACGATGCTCATCATCGACATTTAATAACGAATGAAAAGAACAGTACTAGTCATATTAGCTCAACAAAAGAATTATTTTTATTTGTTAGTAATGAAAAAATTTCAATCGGCGGAGGGTGAGTAGTGTCAAAACTTCCACATATCTATCTATCTATCTATGTCAATCTTGATTTATATACCATTCATAAAAGTGTCTATACAATTTTCTTTTCTTCTACTCTATTATTTTTATTTCCAGTGGCAATGATGGTTTATCTATTGATCAATCGTTATGTGATGGTCGAACAAGTCGATGTGAAACATTTCAAAATGAACCACTATGTTCCTTAACATATTTTACTATATCAGTATTAGAAATGTTCGGTTTTAATTCTTCGTAGATATTCGTTTTTTTTACAGTAGATTCTGTAGTATTACATTAAAATAAATACAATTGTTGTTTTTTCTTCCGGTATTACTAAAACGCAAAACAACAACCATTTAATTTGTTAACTACTTTCAAAATATTGTTTGTATTTGACATCAATATTTAGCAGATTTGTTTTTTAATCAAACTTCTTGCAATAAATATTCTGTATGTTTTGTTCTATTCGATTTTATTTCTTCTTTTTTTGTTGGTGTTGTTGTTTTGTTGTTGAGATCTCCCATCTCATTTGTATTGATATTTTTAGTGTTTTAACCATTTAGTCATAAAATTATTCAATATTAGTATTTTTTACTTGATTGTATAGAAAGTAAACTTTTTCTCCTCCTGCTTATTTATGCAATTGAATACAAAATGTTTTCAAAAATGTGTGATGATCAGTTGTTTATATATTTTTTTTTCTTCTTTTTCTTGTGATAAAACCATAAATAGTGTCTAAAACTGTAATTGAATTGAACAGTGGTTTCCGGTTCCTTTTTATGTCTTTTTTTTTCTTTTTTTCTAATGATATTTTCAAATAATTGTGTTTGCGTCTTTTTATTATATTTCTATTTTTTATTTTGAGCAAAATTTTTTATTGGACAAAAAGCTAATATCAAATAATAAGTATTAATAGAGAAAAATCAAATTATTTCTTGATATGAGTATTAAAAGACAAAGAGTTTGATGACATTGTGATACTAATTGTAAATAATACTGGTATAGCAGTTTTGAAAAAGTCATAGAAGAACTAGTTTTGTTTCCGTTATTCAACACATACACTCTCTCAAATATGTAATAGCTTTGTAATAAATATCTTAAACAAAGAAATATTTGAAATTAAAACAATCTAATGATATGATAGTGTACGATTATTAATAAGTCGATTCGAAAATAATTTTTCTATAGAGATTGTTTAGAAATCATATATATCGATGATATATGAATAAATGAATTGACAAGATAATAACGAAATATTTATGAAATTCTATCATGTGTTTTTGATAATGTTTTCTAGATATTAATGTTGTTATATCAAACTCTTATAAGGTATATGAAGAGTAATTTAAAATTTACTTACAAATGAATCAGTCTTTGTTTTTATCTCTCTTTATAGTTGTCAATTGATTTTTATCGTTTATAGTCTCAAACCAATTCATTTAACATTGGTTGTTTGTGGCGACAGGTAAATAAAACACAATGGACATTTTTCCGTAGAGCAGCGGACATTTGGATTCTTGAGCTAAAAAATGATTATTTTCACGTAATATAATCTTATTATATGTCAGATATTAATAGAAGTAAAAAAAAGTCGAATTCGAAACAAAAATTTTATTCGATAAAAAAATCCCTTAACCCTGAATTTTCGTCAAAACATGCTTTATTTGTAAAACTAACAAATTATAGATCATTCGATGCAGTTTTACGTACTGATTCCAGATATCTCATTATTTTTTAATAAAAGTAGATTTTTTAAGAAAAATAGATTTTACATCAAAAATCGGTAATCTTATTGAAATTTAGGAAATCAACTTTAACCGAAGTACCGGCTCGGGTATGCCATTTATTCGAAAAATTGCTAGTTTTTACCAAATTTCTTCCACTCAAAATTAAAATTTTTTGTATCAGCAGATAGCTGACACTTTTTTGTTCAAGAATACGTTGAAATGACGAATTTGTATCAATTCAGTGGGATGAGAAAATTGAGTTTTCTAAGAGGACGTTGAAATTATACGTCGTTTTTCTTTTCCAAGAAAGGACCAGGTGGAACAAAACTTTTTGCACCATTAGATAGTCAATCGTTGATTGTTTGCTAAATGTCCACGTGTATACCGACTGTGTGAAGTTAACTGAAGGTTTGAATATTTTTTGAAAATTTAATCTCTTTTTATTTATCATTGAAGAGTAACTGAAGCAAGCAATGCATTGAAATCAGCGTTAATATTTACACCACCACCATTAATATTTCATATATTTACGGAAAATCATCTTAAACAAGAATTTCAATCAAAAGTATTGATAACTAATGAATGAAGTTATAAATATAACATTTATGTTTCATAATTTTAGTTTGAGACATGGCCAAATGAATATCAAAGTAATTTTCAAGTAAATTATTATGATATACAGTTTACACGTGGTAACGATGCACAATGGAGAAATTTATTTAAACAATGTTGTACACAACGATTATTTATACCGGTAAATCTTCTTTTTTTTTTTATCATATTTTTTTTAGCTTGTTCATCTG